TCAGCAGGAGGCTGTGCTGTGCCAAGAGGTCTTCCTGGATAACCTCGCCATTCCTAAGTCGACGGCGCGGAACGATGCCTTGAGAGAAAACATCTTCATGATGGTCATATGCATGGACCTGCGAGTGCCTCTCTTTCTTGTAGGGAAGCCGGGAAGCTCCAAGTCCCTGTCCAAAACCATAGCTGTGGCTGCAATGCGGGGCCGATTATCCGAAACAGCGTTTTTCAAAAATTACAAACAGATCCAGGTGATAACTTTCCAGTGTAGCCCTCACTCTAGGCCTGAGGGAATCATCTCCACCTTCAAACAATGCTCACAGTTTCAGAAGGGTCAGAAACTGGACGAGTTTGCCTCAGTTGTGATTCTGGATGAGGTAGGTCTTGCAGAAGACTCTCCTGAAATGCCCCTCAAGACATTGCACCCTCTCCTTGAAGATGGGTGTGTCGATGATGAAACCCCAGAGCTGTATAAAAAAGTGGGCTTCGTCGGCATTTCAAACTGGGCCCTGGACCCTGCTAAGATGAACAGAGGACTCTTTGTGCTCAGGACTGAACCGAAGGAGGACGAGCTTGTGAAGACGGCCAAGGAAATCTGTGCGGGCTGCAACATCTCACGAATCGAGTGCAAGTTCCCCTTTCTAGCTAACTTCTATTGCAAGGTCTTAAAGATGCAGTCAGTGGAGTTTTTTGGGCTCCGTGATTTTTACAGCCTGATCAAAATGATACTGTCTTACACCCAAGATCAGGATCGATGCTCTGCGGAAGAGCTCGTTGGAAAAGCAATTCTGAGAAACTTTGGGGGTTCAAAAGAAATAGACCCTTTAAAGTTGTTCAAAACCTGCAAACCTCCTATCACTCTTCCTTCGGACTTAGAAACCAGGCTAGAAACCACGCACACAGTTGATTTGCTGCGGGAAAATTTAGACAGGAGCCAAACAGGGTTTGTATCTAGATACTTGCTGCTAATCACAACTAACCACGCGGCTTTCCAGATTCTACAGATGACCAAACTGATGGACATCGAGAGCTGCGATGTAATATTTGGCTCAGGTTTCCCGCAGGACCAAGAATATTCGCAGGTATGCCGCTCTGTGAACCGAGTGAAAATCTGCATGGAAACAGGGCGGCCTGTCATTCTCCTAAACATACAGAACCTGTACGAAAGCCTCTACGATGCTCTGGACCAGTGTTTTGTCAAGTTAGGAGGAAACAATTACGTCGACCTGGGCCTGGGCACTCACAGAGTCAAATGCCGAGTGAAAAAGGAGTTCAAGTTGGTTGTGATCGAAGAGAAGAACGTTGTCTACACGCAGTTTCCCACCCCACTGCTGAACAGGCTGGAGAAGCATTGCCTGGAGATGAATACCATTCTCAGCTCGCGGCAGGTGGAGGTGAGGAGGAAGCTCCAGCAATGGGCCAGGTTGTTTGTCACGGTTGGGGACGCTGGTTGCTGCAGCATCAGGTGGTCCAACGGTAACCCTAAGGAACAGGATGTCTTCATTGGATTCAGTGAGGATGTTTCTGCCACGGTCCTTTTGCAGTGCTCTCAGAGCAGCCTTCAGGGGAACTTTGTGTTCAATGAAAAGCAAGTCCTAGAAGCCTGTAAAAGCAAGTTCATCGACTGTGCGACCCCTGACTCCATCCTGCGTCTCAAATACTCCTCTCTGCAGGATGCTAAGCAGATCCAGGACTTGTACTTCGGGCGGCAGAAGCGCAACGACCTGACTGACGTCCTGAGGAAGTCAATGAATGCGCAGTCAAATGTGGATGCCACTACTGGGCTGTGCTTGGAGGTACAATGTTTTATCACAGAGCGAGATTGGTGGGCGTGATTTCAGGGGGTGCAAGGCAGCCATGCCTTCAGTTGACTTCAGCGAGAGCTGCAGGCTGTGCAGCATCTCTAGGAAGCTTTCTGTATGCTATTACTAATGATATTAATGTTATTGATGAAGCCATGGGCTCTAGTGACGTGTACCTCATTATCTTGGGTGGTGTACTGACTTATTGTAGCATGCGTTGTGCTCAAAGGACCTTCCCATTATGAAAATTGTCTCTGGTGCAAATATAAAAAATACCACCGAGAGACCTTAGGCACATTACACTAACACTATCTTAAGCACATTGCACTAGTTAAGTTTTAAAGTACTAAGGAACTGACCTTCATCTTAGTTTTGTTTCAGGTTTAGAAACAATCCGTAACATTTTCCTACAGCTGTTCAAGCTGTCATGTATTTTAGAGTAACGAAGCTTGTTGTACGAGTCTTAAAACATCGGTATTGGAATCTCAGTTAATGCAGATATGGCCCGTGTAAACTTTTCAGCCCGTATAAAGCCTTTCACAGGAAGATATAATGCCAAACTGATTGAAGGTTATGTCCAGCAGCAGCAGCGCACTTTTTTCCATGCTCATATTTTCTCCATAGTGCAGTCTCACGATAGCTAAGTGCTTGTGGCCGGCCACGTCCACACGAGACTCACCGGAGCTCCTGCGCAGTAGCTGAACAGCTTTTAGGTGATGCTTACTGCATAGTAGTTCGTTACTAGTGTGCGGTAGTGTTGGGTCACGCTTCGTGCCATGCAAAGCTACTGCGCAGTAGTGCCGAGTTACTGCGCCATCAGCATCTCGTGTAGACGTGGCCACTTAATACGATCTGGAGATATTCTTCCCAGGAAAAGTAGTAACTTTGTTATGATGCAATGGCACGCTGCATGATATGATCACCCTTGGCACATGTTTTACCGCTTGAACATGAAGATGCTGGCGTTTTATGAATAGCGAAATTAAGGAAATGTTGCCTTTTTTCATCAATCTATGTACAGTTACTCTTTGCTTGTGGTTATCCACCCATCCACATGTTCAGTTAGCAGTAATTCTGTCTAGCCCGCAGTTTTCCATGTGCCATATGACAGTGTCATGTGCCGCTACGCCAAGACTGGTTCAAGCCTTAAAAATGCCCAGCTCAGTAAGGGCATTGTAATTCAAGGAGTAAGGCAAGAGCACTGTGCAAGAGCACTGTGATGAAGGAAACGGGATTGTCTCGCTTTTTCGTTGAAAAGTCACTATTTTCCAGTTGAAGGAGAAGTACTTTCTCGGTGGTTATACTGGGCAGCCATTTACACTCACTTCAGTTCCCTTTTATTGTATTTTTTCTACATACCGTAGCAAACTCAAGCAGAGAAATTCTTCCCTAAATAAACCTTTCTTATAGGTTTCTACACACGCAAGACTTCTAAACCAGAGAGAGTTGGACATGGTCACGAAGAAGCTGAATCTCCAAAATAGGATCTGCTGTGTCTTTTTAAGTCAGTTTGAGACTGAGCATGCCTTCCGTCAGGAGCTTAGGTAACAAGAGGGTTTGGTGCAACTCATTTTGGTTTCGGTACATATTTTGGACATGTTTTTACAGCTGTGATCTTTCAAAAAGAAGGTAAAGAGACTTCTTTATTGTTTGCAGTAAGTTTTTCAGTCAATCACCGGATGAGAAACTGCTCCTTGTCCAGTTCAACTTTGATGAGCCACAGAGCAGCAAAAGGCTCCTGGCCTGCGCTAAGTAAGCAACTTTTCTTATGATTTCAGGGTTGAGGTCAGAAAAGAAGTTAAACCTGTGTGTCAGTCAAGCCAGGGACCAGGGGCTCCAGAACGACCGATTGTGCCCTCAGTTCCTACACATCATGCCACCTGCATGCTAGGGGATCCAAGAGTGTGAGATCAAGCACTGCCCCTCCTGCCCCAAAGTCGGGCAAGAACGCTGCTGACTGAATTGCAGGCTATGGAAGTTCATTGAATTCATGTTTGGGACAGAAGGGAAACCAGAAAAGATAAAATGCCCCCAGGCATAGTTCACCCACTCCTGGGACCTCCAAAGTATGGGTGCATGCACTCTCCTCAACTCACCCATGGCAAGGCATGCTGCGATGGGTGTCCCCTCCCAGCTATAGGACTTCACACGCTTTTGTGAGCTGATTCCCAATCTGTGACATTTGGGAATAATTCAGTTGTTAAGTGGTGTCTGCATCCTGTCCCGCAGAAATTGTGAAATGGTTCCCAATCAGTGACACTTTGGAATAGTGGAACTGTTGTGTGTTCCTGTGTCCTGTCTGATTTAACCTGTAAGTAAACCAGTTTAAGAGTTATGTGTGTCCCTACCCTCAGGTACTGTATAGTAGATGAGAGACGAAAATCACAAAGCCCAGGCTTGTCACACGTTGTCGTCATAACTAAAGTACCAAGGATACAGGGTGGGTCTGGTTACCTGGCATTCAGTGGAGGTGAGTATGTGGCTGCTTTCCATTCGACACTGTAAGCGAGGATTTAAATTGCTGTAACGTGTAGAATTCAAAGTCTTGTTGTAGGGCAGTGCTCACAAGAGCACCAGTCTGACTAAACAGTAAAACCCCCATTTCAATGTACAGGCAAAGAGCTGGGGAAAATTATAGCACGTCTGTACTGCAGGTTGTGATGCAGTGCAGAGATCTCTCAGCGAGCTGTGAAGTTGCTAGCTTGGGTAGCAATAGGTGTGTAGCTGTGGCAGCATGGCACTCAGCACAGGCTATATAACAACGGCCAGGACCGAGGCCCCCAGTTTGCAGGGCAGTGCTCAACCCAGGAGACCTTCTCTGCTTTCTCCTCCAACTACTGGCCCCTTCTGTCTTCCTCTTGGCTGCCCAGAGTGCTTCAAGAGGAGGGCTGGCACATGCTCTGTTAACCCATGGCCTGGAGACTGGGGCACTTTGCTATTAATCTCTAAACGATTGGAACCTAACATCTGGGTCTCCCTCTCTCTCTCAGCAAGTGCTCAGGCTATTGGGCTGAGAGCAGGAGGACCCCACCTTCTCTGGCCAGTGGGCTAATTGTGTTTGATCTTTGAACGCTTTTGAGGTCTTGCTTACTGGTATACACACACTTGGGTGATCTTAGGGTGCCTATACATGTGCAGCAAGGCTGCTCCAACTTGCTGTAACTATAGCCCTTTGTAGGGGACTCAATTATTTGTGCACCACCAGACTCCAGCATCACATGTATCGGTGTCCCCAAAATGGCAGTGGGGGTGCTTTAACAAAAACTCATTCAACAAGCTTTAGTTAAAGCACCTCTGCTGCCTTTTTGCAGCACGGGATTCTGATATGCATGGTGCTCCGGGTGCTTTAATTAGAGTGGCGCTTGGAGCCACTCTAATTAAAGCACCCCCCTTCACTCCCAGAGCACATGTATAAATGCCCTTATTCTGCCACAGAGCTTATGCAGCCAAGTCAAAATGCACACGGAAAAAGAATCTAAACTCTACCCTAAGCTAATTGCTGCTGTATAGGTAGACTTAGTGGCATAAAAGTGAAATAGCACTTGACCTGCTATGTTCAAAATGTGGTTCTGATGACCATGTTTTTAAAAATGTCACTGAAAATTTAGAGGGGGTCAGAAAAGAGTCACAAATATGGTTTTAGGGCTGGAGAAAATGTGTCAGTGAGAGCTTTCTACAGTATAAAGGAAAAGAAAACTGTCAGAGTAACTGGGACAACTTCCAAATTTTGATGTCTTCAAGTCAAGCCTGGATGACTTTTAGGAAGAGAGAATGTAATAAAACACAACTTACTGGTCTCCAGATGCAAGACCCAGTGACACTGCCAGGGCTTCTGTGTGGAGGAGATTGGACTGGTTACTAACAGCGATCTCTTCTGGCCTGAGGATTCCTGATTATATTACCCTTTCTTTCCTCCCCAGATGAATGGACTTCTCTCCATCTGGACAAACTTCTGCCTCTTGAGCACTTTACAGCCACTTTGGGGCAGCTCTCCAAAATGTCAGTTGCCGAGGTTTTCATGAAGAGCGCTCAGCAGGGTCTTCATGCAGGTAATCAGCTTCTGGCTTTAAACCCCACTCGGATGCATTGTTTTGCCTTTCACCCTTCTCCTGCCCCGTCAAGTGGATTACAGAAGTAGGACATCTGAGATTAAACAGGCACAGACATGTCTCTTATAGCGTTCTTGCGATCTAGAAAGCATCTGTGTAAATTGGGTGGGGAGATGCCTGCTTGCTCAGAAGGAGAGACAAAGCCCGTGGCAGTCAGAACATACTCTCAAAAGAGACATTTTCACCCTGGTACTTGTGGCAGGACAGTAGGGGATGCTCCTGCATTGAGCCACCCACCTCACTTTGCCCGACCACCTCCCAGGCTCCGAGTGCCTCCTCGGGGGCGCCTCACATCTGGCCACCCCCCTTCCTAGAGCACACCCAGAGCAAGCCTGGGGGTAACACCGCTACCACCCAGAGTCTGGCCTGATCTTGGACCTGCACCCTGAGGGAAACACAGGCCTCATAGTCCTTGAGGGTACTTGACCCACTGCAAAAGCTTGGGGTGCTTCCCTCAGTCTGACGCACAAATAGTGGTCTCCCTTAGTCAGCCAAACCCGGGGGACCCCAAAGCATAATTTAGACCCACTCCCAATAAGTTTCCCATGCTAGATATAAAGGAGAATTTTATTGGTTACAAGGAGCAGGTTTGGAATAGGGTACAGGGTAGAGCAATATCAGAGAAATCCCTTAGAGCAAACAGTGGCATGGTAGCCTTTGATCACGCAGCTGAGTTACTGCAGGCTATACATCCAGTTAGATCTCAGGTAGCTTACTCATGAGTATCAGCCAGAGGCAGGTGGAGATTCCCTCTGGAGGCAGGCCATTCATTGATCATGAGTTGAGTGAGTTTCAGATGGTCCAGCTTCTCGGAGAGTTCTCATCCTGGCTCCTGCCCCTCCTCCTGGGCAGTCCTTCACTTGTATAGCCCTTATGACCTCATTTACCTGGTCCAATGAAGGCCAGCAACTGTTGGCTGTCATCCAACCAGTTTGGAATGCATCACTGGTTGCTGGGTAGACTGGCAGGGTCTTTAACCCCCTTGCAGGCATGTTGGCATTGCTTAAAACAATAGGGAGCTTAAGCCCTTCACCCAGGTGTGAGGCCAGTCATGTAGGCAGAGGGAGCAGGTTTCCCCCCTCCCTCAGGAATGTATCCAGCTCAGGCTGCAACTCAGGGTCACCGGAAGAGATGGGACCCGAGGGGTCTGCCCTCTGCAGTGACCGTGACAGCCAAATTGCCACGTAGCAGAGTTTGGGGAGAGAGAGAGAGATGGTATTCTGCCACAGTGCTCATGAGAACCATAGCGCCCTCATGACTGTATGAGGTGCTCTCCAACAAGTCCAAAAACAGTGCTTGAAAGCGCTCGCAATCATGTCAAGAATCCCATTGACAGGCATAATTGATGATGAGATGATGATGATATCTATTTGATTTTCTTTTAATGCTCCATGAAAAAGGCGAAGTCATTGCAATGCTCAGTAATGAAAAGCGCTTGAGAACCCCTGCTCTAAAACAATATACTCTCGATGTAGTTGTATCCATCCTTAGGAACACAGGACTAGCAAAAACCTCCTTGGTCATCTCATTCAGCCCCTGGGCTAATACTGATTTTCAGCCTGAAAATCTCTTCCCCTTCCCAAGGGTAATATGCCCTTGTAAAGGCACTGATAAGGAGTGTTCATGTCCCCTCCATCCTCTCCCCCATGAATTTTCTATGCGACTTTCTATTTGTCACACGTGATTCATTCTTCAGTACAACAGACAAGCAATATGAAATTACACGTGATTTTTATGTCTCTAGATGGTTCAGCCAAGCCAGGAGGCACTGAAACAGGAGACAGTCGTTGTCTGGAGGAAAACGTACGTTTCTTTCTTACTGTGTGAACTAGAAGATTTCTGTATAGCATATTTACTCAGATCCAAAAACGAGGTCCCCCTCTGCAAGTCAACAAGTGGGGGAGGGGGAGCCCCTCAACTTGGATTTGAGAACAAGGTTGAGGGGAGGGGGTGTGACTGCTGTAGCTCTAGTTCCAGTCCTGATCCAGGCTTAGGGTCAGTGAAAGCCCCAGCGTCCACCCTCCCACTTGTTGGCCCCCAACCACTGACCCTCCCCACTGTCTCTGTACACCCCATTGCTCTTACCATTAGTTACAGCTCTGGCCCCACTCCAGTCCAGAGCCTGCAACACATAATGGTCCCAGCCCCTGCCTGGCCAGGAAGCAGAAGTAGCAGCTCTGTCCCTAGATCCAGCCCGGGGACTGGGTCGGACCTGGGACTGGAGCTCCTGCTGCTGCAACCACTACTGCCTGGCTGGGCAGGGGGTTGATGCCTTCATCTTCTTCATGCCAAAAAGGGACCAGAGCTGGAGTGGAGCTGGGGTCATGACTGAGAGTAAGCAGCGACAGGGGATCTGGTATCATAGTATCATAGTGCTTAGGGTTGGAAGGGACCTAACCAGATCATCCGGTCCGACCCCCTGCCCCGGGCAGGAACGGGTGCCGGGTCATATCACCCCAGCCAAGTATCTGTCCAGCCTCCTCTTGAAGACCCCCAAAGTTGGAGAGAGCACCACCTCCCTTGGGAGCCCATTGCAGAGCCTGGCAGCCCTCACCGTAAAGTCATGTCTCCTGATGTCCAGCCTGGACCTGCTCTCTAACAATTTATGGACATTATTCCTAGTAACCCCGGGTGGTGCCGGGGCAACAGAGCCTCCCCCAGTGCCCACTGGTCCTGACTGGTGAGTTTGTAAATGGCCACCAGGTCCCCCCTCAGCCTTCTCTTGCAGAGGATGAACAGGTTCAGGTCCCGTCGCCTCTCCTCGTAGGGCCTGCCCTGCTGTCCCTTGAGAGAGAGCATGAGAGAGCACAGACTCCATAGAGGGCCAGCCCAGGAGGGGAGGGCTCCAGGGTACTTGGATATCATGGGGGGCAGGCCCTGGAGTGCACAAGCATGGAGGGGGAGGCAACAGGGCGCAAGTGTAAGGGTGGGGGTGGGCTTGCCCTCCCACTGCCTATCCCCTGCTACTGCTTTCTCTAGTGCAGTGGTCGGGGAGGACAAATTTAAGATGGCCCTCTGACAATTAGATTCTGTACATGGAAAATTAGAACAAACGTATGTATTTTCCATATCTAGGATATAATTACTGGAGGGCTTAAATTCAAAGTCATCTTGGGTTTGGGTAGATATGATATTATGGGGCAAGTCACAGGGATCTATACAATGCTGACCTACTGCTCAAGGAAGAAATGGCTGCAGGACTCTCCAGGCAGAATTGTTCAGGTTGCCAGCCTCTCCCCAGGGGGAAGTATCAGTGTAGACGTCAAGTGCTACACCGAGAGTCAAATTCTGGTTCACTTTATGCCGAAGTGACACTTATGCTGCCACTTTTGGGACTTAACGCTTGCCAAGTTACGTAGCTATGTAGCGGTGTTTCTGCCTGGCCAGAATACAGCCTTCTGTGTATAATCAGTACACTTGCACATCCATACGGCTATGTTATAGGTTCACAAGTATAAAAAAATGACATTTACACAGCTGGGTTACTTCCCTGTGGGCATGTGTAGCAAGCTTTCTTCCATTTACCCAGCTATACACCCCCTTCCTAATAAGAAGGGTTTAGGGTTCACTGTTGCAGCCTGTCAAGTGAAATAGGTTTCTGCCCTGAATCTCTCTGGGCCCCAGTTCCAAGCCTGTCACTTCTCTGTTTCATCAGGTTATCACCCCCACATAGCAAGGTGCTTCCACCCAGAGCAGAGCTTGTTCCCTTCATCCCATGGCCAGCTCAGGATGTTCCCTGCTCAGCATCGCTTTGGAAGATACCTCTCCAAGTCTGTTTGCTCTCCCCATGCACTGTTTAGGGATCCCAGATGCCTCATGCACGTCAGTGGATCAGTAGGCAACATGGAGCTGGGGTGCTGGAGCACTAAGCACTGTCCTTTTGTGGACACATCCCTCAATCTCTCTATACCTCCACCCCCACCTGGGCATAATAGCATGATCTGCCTCACAGAGCCCTTTGAAGATAAAGATGATATTAAAGTCTGTCAAGTGCCCTGTCTGTCTGTCTGTCTGTCTGTCTGTCTGTCTAAGCAGTGGGGGTTACCTTAGTACTTAGTTGCAGCAAGGGAAGTTTAGGTTAGGTATTAGGAAGAATTTTCTTAGTAGGAGGGTAGTAAAACACTGGAACAGGCTACCCAGAGGGGTGGTGGGCTCTCCATCCTTGGAGGTTTTCGAGACCTGGCTTGACAAAGCCTTGGCTGGGATGATGTAGTTGGGGCTGGTCCTGCTTGGAGCAGGGGGTTGGACTAGGTGTGGCCTCCTGAGGTCTCTTCCAACCCTAACTTTCTCTGATTGCATTTAGGATGTGTCTACACTGTATTAACAAATACCAAATACAGTTTTAAAATGTCTGTCTTTTCAGGTGCAGCTGCTCAACATCGAGTACCTTATTAAGCAAAGCATTCAGAAAGCTGTGATTCAACTGGAGGACAAGCAGGACAACAGGGAGCGAGCTACCAGAAGGATACAGATCCTCTATGATGCGCTTTTCTCGGCTCAAAAGAAAACTGCATGTGAGCACAAACCAAAGGCAACTTATAAAAGTAGGGCTGAAAAGGACCTCTATAGGTCATCTCTTGCAACCCTCTGTCTGAGGCAAGATCACCCCTATCCAAACCATCTCATCCAAATGCGTTCGCTAACCTCTTAGCAAAATGATACGGTCAACCCTGACACAATACAAGACATCGCACCTTAACCTGTCATGGGTAGAGCAGGGGAACCACAATGGCTAATGTCCTGTGCTGCAAAGGTTGTTAAAATACACTCAAGAGATCCCAGGTAGAGGGCAATGCTCCCCACCCCTGCTACCGAGGAAGATAAAAGCCCTCCAAATCTGCACCACTCTGATCATGGACTAAACTCCATCCTGAGCCCAAGCATGGCAATTGGTCTGACCCTGAGCAGAGGGAAAGACCCTACAGTCAGGAAATGCCATCCTTAAGTCTCAGCATGAGCATTGGCAACCCCAAGTGAAAATCCCCAGCCTTGGCTGTAGCTAACATTCAGTGCCTCTGAGGAAAGCTAAAAAAAAATGTGACACGTGTAGCAGTGTGGGAAGGGAGTAATTCCTTCCCCGTCCCATGCAGCAACCAAAGCCCAGAAATACCCATAGCATGACACAGGAATATCTATGGCTAGATCATCCCTGAGCAGTGACTGTCCAACCTCTTCTTAACACCTCCAGGGATGGAGAGTCCACAACTTCCCTAGGCATCTGTTCCATTAACAGGGAAGAAGGTTTTTTTCCAGACATCCAATCTAAATTTACTTTGCTGCACCTGCAAGCCACGAGTCTGTGCCCTGCTCTCTGCAGTAAGAGAGAAAAGGTGTTTTCTCCCCTCCTGGCCATGCTTCGAGTCTTTGCAGACTGCTATCATGTGTCATATCCCCTCTTAAGAACCTTATCGACAAGCCGAACTTGCCTAGTCGCTTAGGAGAAGATCGTGTAGGATCTTGTGAGGAGCCGTGCAGACGCTGAAATGTACTTTATTCAAAACGTTCCTGCCAGCCACTCAAGTAGTTCCTTTGTCCAAGAAGGAGATCAGGTTCATTTGACGTGATTTGTTCTTAGTAAATCCATGCTGGCTGCTTGTGATCGGCCTTTCCTCCTCCAGATGCTTGCAAATCCCATCTCTTATTGCATCTCTCAGGTTGTCCCCTTCCTTGTCCATATAAACTCTATCAGGAGTCTGCCTGCATTTTAGTTATTTTGTGAGAATGGAGGCAATGCAGATGTTGAGTAGCTCTGCCTTCTTTGCATCTTCTATTAAGAGCTGCTTCTGGCAATTTAACAGCGGGCGCACAACTTCCTTGGTCTTTCTTTTCTGGCCCACACACTTACAGAACTGCTTTGTGCTGTCATTCATGTCCCTTGCCAGGTAAAGCTCGTTCTTTTTCTTTGTCTTGTAACAGGGCTTGGCCTCCACGGCTGGCAGTGGCACCCCTAGTAGCCCTACTTGTCCTGCTTCTTTGTGCTGTCATTCATGTCCCTTGCCAGGTAAAGCTCGTTCTTTTTCTTTGTCTTGTAACAGGGCTTGGCCTCCACGGCTGGCAGTGGCACCTCCTAGTAGCCCTGCTCGTCCTGCTTGCTCCCCTCTGGCCTCTGAGAGCATCCCCTTGGTATCCCTCCTTGCAGAGCTCAGTCCTGACCTCAGTTTCTTTCCTATTCCCACTCCTTCCCTAATCCCTGGCCCTGCCCTGGCTCTAGCCCCCTGCAGCCCTCTGGGTCCTGGGCTTCAGCCCTCTGTGGCATGGGTTGCACCCCCAGGCACCCTACCCGTGACCTCTGTACCACCCATGTCAGCCACCTCCCGTCCTCTGGTCCTCCAACCAAAATTTCCCCTGCTGAAGTCTGAGGACCTTTCTTCTAGCTCTGTTTCCTGTAGCCACAGAAAAAAGAGCTATCTCTATCCTCTCTATAATTGCCCTTCAAGTATTTGAAGACTTTAATTAAATCCTCACTCAGTCTTTTCCTCTCCACACAAATAACCCAAGGTCTTTCAGCCTTTTCTCCATGAGTCATGCTTCCCAGGCCTCGAGTCATTTTTAAAATCTCCACTAGTCTTTCCAAACTGCCTGCATCTTTCTTGAAGTGTGGGGCCCAAAACTGGACACAACACTGCAGGTGAGGCTTCACCAGTGCTGAAAACAGTGGAAGACCTACTTCCCTAGATTTGCAAGTGGCATTTCTATTGATACAATGGACTAAACTTTAATTTTTTTTTTTTTTGCGGGGGGGAGTTGCAATAGGAAGAGCATGCTGTTGGTTCATATTCAGCTTTTGGTCTACTATAGCCCCCCATGTCCTTCTCTGCAGTACTGCAACCTAGCCAATCATTCCCCAGTCTGTATTTGCGCCTGAAATTATTCCATCCCAAGCGTAGGACTTGGTACTTATCCTTGTTGAATGTTACCTTATTAATTGTGGACCATTTCCCAGTTTGTCCAAATCATTCTGATCCTCGCTCTACCCTACAAAGTGTTGCAACTCTACCCAAATTTGTATAATCCACAAATTTGGTAAAAGTGCACACAATCCCTTTGTCCAGATCAGTAATTAAGATGTTCTGCAATACTGGACTTGAGAGAAACCCCTGGGGAACCCCACTTGATACTGCCTCCACATTGAGCCATTGATGACTACTCATTGAGCATGATGATCCAAGCAGGTATGCATCCACCTTATAATAGTTTCATCTAGTCTCTATTTCCGTAGCTTCTAAATGTGAATTTTCTGAAGGACTTGGCAAAAGTCTTGCCAAAATCAACGTATATCACACCTGCTGCTCCCACCCATTTGTAGAGCCTGTCACCTTTATCATAAAAGGAAATCACGTGGGTGCAGCATGACTTGCTCTTGGTGAATCCATGCTGGCTGTTCCTGATCACCTTGTTCTTCTCTGGGTGTTTCACAATAAAGGACATCCTCCATAGATTCATAAATTCATAGACGTTAGGGGCTGGAAAGGACCTTACAGATCATCAGATTCAGCCCCCCTGCTCTAGGCAGGAAGACGACTGGGGTTAGGTGACCCCAGCAAGGCGAGTGTCCAGTCTCCTTTTGAAAACCTCCAGGGTAGGTGAATGCACCACTTCTGGAGACAAGGTTCCGTGGGTGAATTTGATATCTTTTATTAGACCAACCCAAATGGTTGGAGAGTAGTTATTAAGCAAGCTTTCGGGTTCAAAAACCCTTCGTCAGGCTAAGGAAGCTTCAGCAGTTGGTGTGTGCTCTTCCTGGGAGCTTATTCTACAGTCTGGACATCCTCACTGTGAATGAGTTTTTCCTGGTATTAAGCCTGAAGCGACCTTCCAGGAGTTTATATCCATTGATCCTGGTCTTTCCCAGGGGTGTCCTAGTGAACAGTTGTTCACCGAGCTCCTGATGCACTCCTCTGACATAGCGGTAAGCCATTATCGAGTCCCCTCTCAACCTTCTCTTCTTTAGGCTAAAGAGGCCCAGATCCCTCAGCCTTTCCACGATCTACATTTTCTTTTGGTCTTCCTCTTAGTTCTGAGTTTCTTGCAGAATCTTTTTTATGGCCTTTTATGGCTCTTACCAGTTGCAGCTCAACTCATGCCTTGGCCTTCCGAATTTTCTCCCTGCATGCCTGTGTGATATCCTCATACTCTTAATATGATCAAGCAGGATTCCCAACTCATTGAGAAGATCACCGTCTAGCCAGGTCAGTCTCCTGTTGCACTTTCCATTCCTCTGTCGCATCAGATTAGCTTATTTCTGCACCATTAATGCAGCCTTCTTAACATACAACCAGATCTCCTGGTCTGCTTTTACCTCCAGCCTTGCATCCTGGGAGCTCCTAACCACCAATTCCCTGAATTTGCTTTTTTGAAGTCACTGGCTTTTTTGAAGTCGAGCATCTTTATTCTGCTGCCGTCCATCTTTCCTTCTTCCAATTAAGATCTTGAACTCAGTCATTTTGTGGTCACCTGGGTGTGTCTACATATGAAATTAATGCACACAAATATATATAATGCATACATATATATATGTATGTATGTGTGTGTGTGTGTGTATAGATATATATATCTATATATCTATATCTATATCTATATATATCTATATCTATATCTATATATATATATATAAATATGATGTTCTGAGGTGCAGTACAAAGTGGGAATCTCCTTTATATATAGAGCAATATATATATATATATCTGTTTTTTCCCTGCCATCATTCCAGTTACATCACACATTTTAAATTTTCCCACTGATTTCAACTCTGTATTTAGACTGAAGTAACTGGGACGTTCGAGAGACAAATGCAACACGCATCCGTTATATTTCACGTTTTCCTTGACGATTTTGCTGTGAGTTGCTCAATTCCAAATGGCAGTTCAAATTGTTTCCACCAATAGAACCTTTTAATAGAAGATAATAAGTAATCGTCTTTGGCTATAGCTGGTCAGAATGGGTATTTTTCTATCCATGAAAAATGTCAACTTTTTGTTTAATAAAAAAGCACTACATTTTATTTTAACTAAACTTCTTGGTGACTTTGACTGGAAATGTTTAGGTTTGGGTTTTTCAGATGAAAAGTAAAAGAATTAAAAACTGATGAAAGCACGGGTTTTATATAACTTATTTCACGTAGCTGAATGCACTTTTTCCCCAGAGAAAATGCTTTCATAGAAAATTTTCACCGGTCTTATTTAGTGATTCTTGTTTTGTGTTTGACTAGTTGTCCACAGTTTTATGGGAGAATTAAAAAAGAGAATTTGTCGCCTTTTACAAGAACGTGAGAAGAGGAGTCTTGAGCCTAAAGAATGGACCTTCCATCAAGCAAAGTCCGGAAAGTTTATACTTGAAGGCACTTCATTCAGGTAAATTTCTGTGTCCTTGGATAGCATCAACACGTCGTCCATTTGATTTTCAGAGAGCTCCATTTTTTTGGGAATACAAAACAGATACGATAGGCTCTGATCCTTCATTGGATTAATTACTGGAAAAGTCTTAGGTTGGACAGTGAGAGTTTGATCTATGGTAAGAACCTCTGTAAAATCAGGGAAAATTAGGTCTGAAAACAATTCACTAGGTCATCCAGCCCAGCCCCCTGCACAAGTCAGGATCACCCCTCTCTAAACTCACCTAGGCGGTCCAAGTATTTGCATAATCTGATCTCAGAAACTTCCAGCCGTGGAGATGTGATGCCCCTGGTGAGCAATTTATTCTAGTGCTTAACCACCCTCATCCTGAGAGAGTTCATCCTTATATGCAGCCTAAATTTCCCACATTACGATTTCAAAACGTAGCATCCTGTCCCATTAGGTCACACAGAATAGTCTATCACCAGCCCTCTTTATAACCTACCTTCAGGTATTTGAACGTTGTTATTAAATCCATCTTCCGTCTTCTCTCCACATTAAATAATTCCAGTTCTTCCAGTCTTTTCCAGCAAGTCATTTTTTGTTGCTCTTTGCTGAACTCTTTCAATGTTATTTATGTCTTTCTTGAACTGCAGCACCCAAAACTCAATGCAGTCCTCAAAGCGAGGCCTCACTAATGCTGAATGATAGTCGGTCATTTTGTACTATGGAGTCGATGTGTACCGAGTCCTCTACAGCAGTGTTTCCCAAACGTTTCCTTATTATGACCCCATTTATGACCCCAGTTCCTCAGCATGGCCCCTCACTCCCAACCCACGGCCCCCCACCTCCACGATCCCATCCGCTGATGTTGTGACCCCATTTGGGGTCGCGACCCACAGTTTGGGAGCTGCTGCTGTAGCAGGACTCCACCAATCCCGTAACAATTTTGCTTCTTGGTTCATCTCATGTTGAACATAGAGGTTGGAATTTAGTTATGTTTTATTAACTCGACATGCTGGAGAGCCTATAGGGATTGGCTCTCCAGCTGTATACTGTATAGCTTCAGCATTTCAGTATAGGATAGTATAGTATACCCTATACAGCTGTCCTGCTGCAGACACAAAGTTGGGGATGGTTGGAAAGAGCTGAGAAAACTAATTTTGGAGGACATGTTTTCCCTTCTTTTTAAGGCACACGCTCTGGATTTATATAGAAGATATTATGGTAAATGTGTTCGCCCAAATTCTAGCAGTAATTGATGCCAACAACAATTTGGATCATATCTCTCAAGAGGCTCCGCTGTCCGACCTGTGGCTCCGGATGTTCCAAGATGAATCATTTCTGAAGATTAAGTACACCAGCAAGTAAGGGTCAACTCACTGTGAGAGGTCAGACTCTCAGGGGCACGTCCAGATGAGTGAGCACGTGCAGTACGCGGCACCACAGACCTGTCCGCGATGCTGTACACCGCACGTGTTGCACGTGCAGGTGTTTCCTGCACTGGCAATTTGCAGCACGAGGGGTCAGCAATGTGCACCGCCTGAAACTGCAGCTTGGCTGCCCAGGACCACGCTCCAGCTGCCAGCCAGGCTCCCTGCTGACAGATAGCTGTGGCTGCATACCCACGTACTAAAGGACTGCACAGTAACCAGCGTTACTGAGCAGTAGTGTCCCCACACAGCTTGTGGGTGACGCTGACTATGCAGTAGCACGTCACAGCTGTGCGGTAGTGTCGCATCATGGTTCATGCTGTGGGTCACTACTGCACAGTAAGTGTCTCGTGTAGAGGCAGCCATTGAGTCCAGTGAAATATTTCTTTTCAATGTGAATCTTCATTTAAAATGCCGAAACTGTCTTTGGTATAAAGTAGCTAAAAATTGAAAACAAAAAAAACAACTTACTGAATCAAAACCTCAATCTTCTTATTTACAAAATTCAAGGTTTTCTTTTAAAAATGTTTGGAATCAAGACATTTGTTGAAAACACCCATTTTCTGCACGTGGGTTCTGCTTAGACAGAACTGCATTTTAGTTTCAAAAAAATTGTTAGCAAATTCAGTCTTTTCAGGACCGAAGTGAACATACCTGTGTGTGACTATGGTTTACAGTGTGGTGCTTGTATTAGTGTTTTGAGAGCGAGGAGGAGAGCTTGGAGAGGAAAGCGTGCATCCATGATGCAAGTCTCTGCCAACCCCTAAGGAGAGGCATATAGCCAGAAAACAATATATATAAGGCTCTAATACATACTCTCATCTGTAATATGCATTTTTCCTATTCAAGAGTGCCTGATGCTAAGATTGCTGTGTTATCAATGACTGAAGACCCAAACACGTCTGTGGTTTGCCAGTTCCCGTTCAGCTGGGTTTTGAAAGCTGACTTGGATGCGATATGGGAGACAGTCCATCAGGCAAAAGGTGATTTCAAGCTTTCGGCAACTATTAAAACAAACTATAGTGGAACAATATTTGTGGCGGGGTGAATTTGGGTCAATTGAATGAGGATTTGTACAGTAGGCTCAGAGGCATTATGGATGCCTCCATACATATGGGTAATTACAGGCTGCTCCAGTGCGCTGTAATTACAGCATGTCAAAGCAGACTCGATTAATCAAGTCTGCTGGAGCGTGGTAATTACCGCTTTCCAGCAGCCTCCTGCATCTCACGTATCAGTGCCCCCACACTTAAAAATGGAGCCGGGGGAGCTTGAACTGACATTCGTTGAACAAGCATTTGTTCGCACACCCCCGCCACCATTTTGAAGCACCGAGCTGTTGACACACGAGACTCTGCAGCACTTTCGAGCGGCTCTCGGAGGTGCTCTAATTAAAGTGGTGCCCTCCCCACAAGGCACATGTAAAAGTGCCCAGTGAGAGCCAAAGCCTGGGAGATAAAATGTGGGTACATATCCAGGCTCAAAGGTGCTGCTATATAAGAGTAAAGGGAGCAAAACACTCGAACAGTTCACCGAGGGACATGGGCAGGTCCTGAATTTTGCAAAAGGGGGTGTGGAAGCAGCAATCAGAGCTACAGAGGTAGATGCACCCCACAGTCCCAGCTCCTTCCCCCCCCCCCACCCCATGCCCACGCTAGGGCTGGCAGACAGTGCTGCAGGTAAAGCAGCCAGGGACTTTTTTAAGTTCTTGAATTAGGTACCACAGCCCTCCATCCTCCTTTCCCTTCCCTTTCACCCCACGCCCTACCCACTACACCCAAATTCACCCTGGCAAAGTAAAACTATGGGTCTCTGTTGCCCTAGGGTTGCAGACCGACAGGCCGTGGAAGTATAGCACCTGTTGGTGCTGAAGGCATCTTGGTGGAGGGACCTGTTGGGGGCAAGGGGGTGGCCCTGTTGGACATTTGACCAAACTCCTGCCCTTAATGCTTTGAAGAGGGGACTGATTGCACTTGCTGCTCTTCACAGCTAATGGGGATGGCCTAGGACCTCTGATGACCTTGCAGGCTCTCTCTAATAATTAACTCTGCATCACAGAGAAACCTTGGTTGCCCATTGCCCCACTGTGTGTTGTTACCGGTCCTCGTCCACCTGCATATTGAAAAACGCTGTTGTCTGCTGGCACTGTGTGATTGACTGATCTCTTTTGCTCGTTCTCGGGTGACCCAGGTTTTCCAAGGGACCCCACGAGAGACTCCGCAGAGATGTTTCAAAGGTTAATCCAGAACGTGCCGATGCCAGATGTCGATGAAGTGGACGTGGTACAGTTTTACGCCAGTGATTTTGTGAGGATGGCTCTTCCTGGACAGGACTTTAAGGTGTATGAGGTAACTGGACTTCTGGAGATCGGCATTTTTAAATATGGCCAGGGTTATACGGGAATTTCAGAATTGTAGGTTGGGAGGGACCTCAGGAGGTCACATCTAGTCCTGCTGTCCCCGAGCTGCCCGGTACACGGGGGAGTCCCAGAGCCACTTCTGCTCCACTCCTGCTGGAAGCTGCTGTGTCGGGCACCAGGCTTGCAGAGGACAGCAGCAGTGTGCAAGTTATCTCTTCCCTGGCATGTCTGCCTTCCCCACACTATGTCCCTTGATGCCTGGGAGGAAGCTCTAGAAGGAGGACTCTGCACTATTGCCGCTGTTCACAGCTGACCGTATTGCAGCTGTAGCCTCAGAGCCACCCCTGCCGTCCTCCAGCCTGGAGCCGTGGGGAGCAGCTGCACATGTGCTCCCTCCCTGCCTGGTCCTCTTCTGCTCCCTGCCTGGCCTGGCTCTCCAGTGTCCCCTGACAGCCCAAGGGCTCCAGCCATACCTCAGCCCCATCCATGCTGTGGTCTGGCCTCATCCCTACCCGGCAGCAGATTTGAGCCCTACTAGGGTGAGGGGACCTAGAACCCAGGTCTCACTCCCCCTGGTCCTAATCAGTAGCTTAAAAAGTGAAGAGCTCTTTCCTCCTTGGGAGTTGCTTGCCCAAAAATGTGCACCTTCCTGCAGGAAGAATTGTGAATTAATATAATGATGTGGTTGAAGTGGTTCCCTTTCAGCATGTAACAATTCAGAAGAAAGCAAGCACACAACTTTAATGCTAGAATTGATTAAGTCTTGAAGCAACTTGCTAAGGTATATGGTGGATTTTGCAGGGGCTGGGCATCTCTTTTTTGAAAGATTTGCTCCAGCTCAAAGCGGAGTTGTGGACGGGATGCAGGAATCACAGGATGAAGTTTTCTGGCTTAGATAGAGGAGGTCCCAAGTGGCATCTAAGGTCTGGCCTTAAATCCTGTGAAGCTATTAAAGGTGTGGAAGAGAAAGCTTTAACTGTTATGATGGAATTGAATGAACATATTTATTTAAAAATATCTATATATAAAATATTCAGTCCTATTTTCTATTACAAGTTTCATGTTTGCTCATTTCGTGACATGTAGTATCTTCAAAAAAGAAATATTTCCACCTCAAAAATTCCTCTGTGACCAGCAGATGCTTTTTACCAAAAATGTAGTTAACTTAAAACTTTTCCAGATATTTCCTTAGATCTTGATATGGTTAACTCTACCTCTGATTATAATGGGGCACTGTTGGCCTTTTTAAAAGAGTGGGAGAGTTACATTTTCTGTAGAAAATATTTTCTGGGGAAACCTCTATTTCTTTTAAACCCACCAGAATTCCTTATAAATATTCTCTCTCTTTTTTTTTTGTAGAAATAGTTTAGTTTTTGAATGCTTGAAAGTGTTTCTCTGCATCCCATTAGAGAGCCTGCTGCCCCAGTTCAGCCTGACACCACCTCCCCTGGGGGCTCGCCCTGTGCCCACACTGGTGCTGCTTCTGCCGGCCCCCTGCTCACTGGTAGTAGTGCATACGCAGCAGGGCTTGCAAAGCTTCGGTCCCTGATTCGATTTGGCAGATTCGGCCCGATTCAGCGACCGAATCTCCAAATCTGAATCGAATAGGAGGACCCTTTAATCTCTCCGAATTGATTTGGAGAGATTCGGAAAGATTTGGAGATTCAGACATAGACACAGCTTTCAATGCTTTTTCTGCATCCCTCTAGGTACCAGGTGGCTCGTGAATGCAGTGATGCTGGGGTGCATGGAGAGTTGCACACGAGCGTGGGAGTCTCCCCAATGTGCTTGCCAGCAGACCCAGAAGTGGACAGGAAACACCTTTGGGTCCACCGGAGAGCGTACTGGGGGCCCCCCATCACCCCCCAGCTCGGTGACTGGTGCCTCCTTGGTCTGGGGGAGCACCTGGGGTCTTCCTGCGGCTGATTGCCGTGCCAGGCGATGTGGGGGGTCCCAGCATGCTCCCTGGTGGACCCGAAAATGGACTTATGCCAGCCCCCATGCTCCTGTGGGACGCTGCACCCGCCCCAGCATCACAGCAATCACGAGCCACACCTGGTACCTCGAGGTATGTAGAAAAAACATTTAAAGCTATGTCTATATCCAAACCACTGATTCTCCAAATCAGCGTCGAGTCTTCAAATTTGGATTCGGGGACAGCGATCCGAATCAATGAACCAAATCGCTGTCCCCGATTCGGGCTGCATCTGAATCAAATAGGACCCATTTCGCACATCCCTAATATGCAGCTTCCAGCTTTGGGGGGCTGCACCAAGATGGGACATCTGCAAGTGGCATTTGTATTGCCCCCACTGTCCCCTGGTCCCCTTTTTGGGTGGGCAAGTGAAGTGTGCTCCCAGTTTTAATCCAGAAAAAAAAGTGTACCCCAGATATCAAAAGTTTGGGAAACCCTAAGATGTAGCATACATGTTCCATGACATGCAACAGCGATAATGAACCTAATTCAGTGGTTACTGCTGAGTAAAAATAATACATTTTATTTTCTTACCAGGTTTTGTCAAATGTCCTTATAACTAGTGCAAAAAAACTCCACTCTTCTGTGGCAGGAAATGATTTGCAGTTTTCCTTGATTTGGCTCCACATTGAATATTTCTACTTACGAGACACTTATCAACTATTCATCGATTTAGTAAAGACTGAGGAGTCTATAACCAATGAGCTGCAGAACATGTACAGTAAGGACTCAACTGCAATGGTGAGATTGTTTGAACTTTGGTGGCTTTGTTCTTGTTCTGTTCAACCTCACGCATGTTGTCCCGTGTGCTCTGTATGATGCAGGTTTTGGGTGGGGTTGCAAATCCCAGTAAGCTATACTAACTGCTACGGAAAGTTAAGCAGCATTAATGCCAGAATTAGCTTTGGGGATCCTGGCTGTAGCTGTATGGGTCTAAACACGAAGGCAGACAAAGTCTTTGGGTAGAGGTGATATTTTTTATTAGACCAACTAATAGTTGCAAAAAGAGTTGTTCTTTGCAAGCTTTCAGACACACACCTCCTCCTTCAAGTGGTGAGTAAAATTAAAGATTGTCAGATATGAAAAAAGCCAATCTTTGGAAAGCTGTTTTGTGAGAATGCAAATGAAGACTAGTTGCAGAGACAAAGGCAGGCAGGTTACCTGGAGTTGTCCGATGGCAGACAGGCTGTAGCGGGGGCCTTAAGCCCTATGTTAATATTTAGTCCAGGCTGTTTAGTTGCAAAAACTAAATAGTTGCAAAAAAATGCATTCTTTGCAAGCTTTTGGACACGCACGTCTTTCTTCAGGTACACACACGTCTTTGAAGGGTTTTGGACACAAGCGTCCTTTTTCATACCCGAGAGATTTCTACCCATCTTTAATTTCTCTCACCATTTTCAATTCCTTTTTTTGCCTGAAGAAGGATGGGTGTGTCCAAAAGCTTGCAAAGAACAACTTTTCTGCAACTATTTAGTGGATCCAATAAAAGATATCGCCTCTACCCAAAGAGTTTGTCTGCCGGAATGAGCTTTGAGCAGTCATGCATTAAGGTTTAATGCCACCTCTGACATGCACAACTGTGGTTTGGCTACTAGAGGTGGGTTAATTAGTCAACTTGCAATGCGATGCTGCGGCTAGTAAAGCAACCAAAACGCTGGCTTGCATCCATAGATGCTTCTCAAGCAAATCCCGGGACGTCATTCTCCCCTTGTACTTGGCTTTGGTGAGGCCACAGCTGGAGTACTGCGTCCAGTTTTGGGCTCCACAATTCAAAAATGATGTAGAGAAGCTTGAGAGAGTCCAGAGAAGAGCCACATGAATGATCAGAGGTCAGGATAACAGACTTTATGACGACAGGCTGAGAGCCACGGGGCTTTTTAGCCTGGAAAAGCGCAGGCTTGGGGTGATCTGATGGCCACCTATAAGTTTATCAGAGGTGACCACCAGTATCTGGGGGAATGTTTGTTCACCAGAGCCCCCAAGGGATGATGAGGTCAAACGATTATAAACTACTGCAAGACCGTTTCAGGCTGGACATAAGGAAGAATTTCTTTACTGTCCAAGCCCCCAAGGTCTGGAACAGCCTGCCACCGGAGGTGGTTCAAACACCTACATTGAACACCTTCAAGAGTAAATTGGATGCTTATCTTGCTGGGATCCTGTGACCCCAGCTGACTTCCTGCCCTTTGGGCAGGGGGCTGGACTCGATGATCTTCTGAGGTCCCTTCCAGTCCTAATGTCTATGAAACTGCGCGGTAAATGTCTAGTGTAGATGCGCCCAGTGAGTGTGTCTATTTTTCTTCACAGTGCATCCATACCTCACCGAGTTATTTCCACACCTGAGTTAATGTTCACCCAAATTAACATTTTCACACCTGATGTATTGTTTTTAGCTAGAGATAAAAGCAGGCTGCAGAACTGTGAAAGAGGAGCTAGGTTACCAGACATCAGGAGTAGTTACCAGACATCAGACTTGCAGAAGAAAGGTTAGCTTGATTGGCTGAGCATCAAGACTCATGGAGGGCCATTTACACCTGTTGAATGAAGAGTTTAGAAAGAGTGGGGTAGAGTATAATGAGCCATGAGGCCAATTGACTCTGTCAGTGCTGCCAGAATAGAAATGTTGCTGCCACTGCCAGGCAGTTGGTTTTAAACTTTGGGTGGAGAAGGAATGAACGGGGGTGCAGCTGCATCACTGCACCCCCCTGGATTTGCCCCCGTCTCCCATCCCCTTCTTCCTCGCAACACAAATGTCATTTCTGAAACATTTCTTGCCTGTCATTCCAGTTTGTATCTCTGGATGCCCTGAACATCCTCCTGAGACAACTGCAACCCACAGAGGAGACTTTTGTATCGTTTGCCACCTGCCTTGCATGGCTGAAAAGAGTCAAGTCCATTAAGCACACGCTGAATTGGGTCACATCGGACGACTACCAAATAAGGCTGTATAGTGAAAAGGCGAAACTATTGAGTAGCGTACTGTAAGTACTCACCCGCGCTGAAAGGTATGTCTGTGTACTTGAAAGAATACACAATTTGATTTCCTGTTTGCAAAAGGATGTACACATACAAACTTTTCCATTAATACAACTCCAACAACAGCACACACCGAAGCCAGGTGCTTCCTCAGCCTGACGAAGAGTATTTATACCCGAAAGCTTGCAAAGAAGAATTTTTCCAACTACTTGAGCTGGTTTAATAACAGATATCAGCTTAACCCAAAGAGCCTTGCCTGCCTATATCCTCAGATCAACACGGCTACAACCTATACTCCATTAATACATATTTTATGTTGTTTTATAACATATTTTATGTTTTATATTTTATGATATTTTGATGCTTGTTTTTTTAATGGAAACTTGGTTTCCAGGATACAAAAATTGTTTTGCACCCTGCTTTATGGTGCATGTCCTGTAAGATTCATCCTTAGTGTTTTCTGTGTCTTCCCCTACTGCTGTGTGGTGCATGAAAAGGGTGGCACCCTGTTATTTTACCAGGAGAGTTGAGCTGTTTGCTCCAGTAGCAGAGAAGTCATCCTGGTTCCCTTCACGAGGACCTCTTTTTTCCGCTGCCTTAGTTGTGGTGCCATTTTCACCTGTGTAGTCCTCGGAGAGATGAGAAGTGTCTCCTCACGTAGCAGCAGAGAATTTTTTTACATGGTTATAAATGATGCAACAAGGTCCCAAACTGTGAAGGTCCGGGGCTATTAATGACAAAGGTCTATCACACGATCAGAGCACCAGGCTTTTTTTATTGCCACCTCCTCGTGACGGCCTGTGCAGCTGACGCAAACCTCACAGTTGGAAACATCCATTGTAAATATTGCAGAATGAGATGTGTATGCTAGGTGACTGCTTCACCAGCCAGGGGTGGAGAAGAAAGCTCCAACTATCAGTCTCTTTATAGCCCTTTATTCTGGGCTTGCTTTATCAACCCAGCAACAGCAAGCAAGTCAGAAGCCCTGTGCAGTAATCCTTCAGCATGTTTGCTACATTTACACATCAGGGAGAGGAAAGCACAAAGGACTTTTTTTGTTTCCCCTTGTATCATTTCCTGAGCACAGTCGGACCCTATCCCAGTGTGACTGTGAGCCTTAGGACCGATTGTCTGGGTCAGAAACTGCACCCAGGCTGCTGGTTTTGTTCCATGGGCTGGGGGAAAGCCGATGTTTCCCCAAGAGTGAACTTCCTTGGATTTATTATTCAAACAGGACACAGTTATTGGAAGTAAGGGAGCTTCATTTTTTTTCAGGCACCGATGGAATAGCACGAACATCATCTACCTGCTCATTGACCACCTGCTGCACGATGAGACCGCGATGGATGAGAAGCTGCTGAGGACCGTTGTGAAGCAGTCGGTCTTCCTCTGGAGTGTAAGGCTTCAACATGGTCCCCGGCTGGTGGTTCGGAGCTGGCTGGGATTAGGCAGCAAAGTTTTGGAGGAATTCAGTCCTTTGATTCACCCAACTCTCTCCTGTCCCCTCCATAGTCGAACATAAGTATAGCGATGACTAAATCATGCCTGTCCGACCTCCCATGCCATGTAGAGAGGCACTATCACCTCCTGTGTCTAGCACCTACTGCTTCTAGTGCTGCATCCCAAAACCTCATTCCTCTTTTGTGTAGCTGCATCACACTGCAGGCTCACGTCGAGTCTGTGATCTACCAAGACTCCCAGATCTTTCTACATAGGGCAAATATAGCTCAGCTGGAGGAAAGCCACACCAGGACCAGGCTAGATAGTGGGGAGGAAGGGGTGGAAAGAAGTGGCATCAACGGGGAAGCAGCGTCTAGCTCCCCGGTCCCAGTGCAGCTCCCTTCTGGGTGGAAGCTGCGCTCACACTGCAGCTGCGGTGCCAAGAGCTGGGGGAAGCAGCAATGGCCTGGTGCATTTCCCAGCCATGATTTTTTGTATCCAATAGTTTTGTGAAGTGAAGTATGTGCAAAAAATCATGGACTAAATATAGACATTGGTTTTATGGCACATTATTACCTGCCTGACAGCTGATAACCCCAAGTAACCTCTATCACCAGGTCAGCATCTCCGCTTCTCCTCCCCCTGTCTCACACCTATGGTCTCCCCTCGCCTCTGATCCTCACTGCCAGGCATTTGCTTTTTCAGACCTGCATTTTGCATGTCGGCTTCTGTTGCACCACGGAGAACACAAAACACCAGCAGATTCTCCCTGGGCCCGAAGGAGGGTGTTTGTGACGGAAAGCTTGCAAAGAACAGTTTTTCCAACTCTTTAGTTGTTCTAATAAAAGAGATCACATTTACCCAAAGAACTTTGTCTGCTGAATGCTTTAATATGTTGCTCAGCCAAAATGTAATGATGTTTGCTGTGCTCTGTTCGATCCAGTTACTGTATAAAACTGAAGATCTGAAACCGGAGAAGATTTTTGAGATCGTGACAAAAGTGCTGAAGACATGCAGCAACCATGCTGTCAAAGTTTACTTTGGGTAAGTCAAGCAAGCAGACCTGTGTGGGTGCATTTTTCAACAAGTCGATATTTAGGTCCAAATCCTATTTCACCTTTAAGTGTCTACGAGATACTTATCTGTCTAGATGGCACACAGCATCATGTAGGTTCAGTTTGGGTTGTACTGCTCCCTGCACAACTAGGTTTGCCCCGCTAAGCAGCCACCAGGAGCATGGCCCAGGACCCAAGGTGCTGTCCCCGACAGCCCACTTCCCATCTCATTGTCACTCCCTCTGCTTTCTTTGTCTCCTCTTGACTCCACGTACCTGGAAGGAGAAGCCTAGCTGGGGTCTTCCACTTCCCAGCCATGTCACCTGACCAAAAGACCATTGGGCCAAAAGGCAAAAAATTGCCCTCCTCCTCTATCAAAGAGTTGCTGGTAATGGCGTTGCTCTGATGAAAATTCTGGGGACCTGCACATTGTGCTTTTCTCAGCAGAAAATGCTTGCTGTAGAGCGCAAATGGCCATAGCAGACTTTTCTAAGCATGCCCAGAAGGACAAATCTAACCATGCCAATAGAAATAGGTCCTAAAATAACTGTGTCAAATGCTGCCGTGCCAGTCTGGAAGAATTTCATACTATAGATGACTTTTCCTAGCTACAGAAAATGTTGCGTTTCTGAGCATTTTTTCCCTTATGTGGTTGTTAATTAGAACAGAATGTCAGAAATGGGGAATTTTCCATGGGAAGGACATTTTCAAGAAGCCTAAATTTCACAGACAGTCCATGGATTCTCTGAAACAAAATATTGCATTTTAATTTTCAAGATGAAAAGCATTTTGATGCACAACTGAGATTCCAATGGAAAAATCACAGATTTGGGAAAATTCTTGATTTAGGCTGAGTTTTCATGTACTTTATGGGGCACATTTGACTCTCTTAGGCCCTGAAAATCAAAACCTGTAAGATCTTTCTGTTCAGAAAGTTGTGCTTCATTAACTCTGTCCATATACTTAGACTCCTAGGGCGGGAAGGGACCCCGAAGGATCATCGGGTCCAGCCCCCTGCATGAGCAGGAAAAACATCTGGGGTTAGACGACCCCAGCCAGGTGACCGTCCAGTCTCCTCTTGAAGACCTCTGGGGTAGATGATTGCACCACCTCTGCGGGGAGCCTGTTCCATCGTCTGGGCACCCTAGTTATAAAGAAGTTTTTCCAAATGTTCAGCCTGAAACTGTCTTCCAGGAGTTTGTGGCCATTGTTTCCAGTTTTCCCCCAGGGTGCAGGTAGCAGTGCTTAAAGTGATATAAATGTCCAGCATGGGTGCAGTTTTCCTACTATGATGCTGCATAGACTTATGCAGCTGTTCCCCTGTGGGAAGCAAAGTTACACCGGTCCCAGCCCCTTTATTCCAGTATAGAAGGGGTTGCACGGTTTAATTAGACCAGTAGACAAATCTCTCCCCCAACAAGAACTGGCTCAAACTCTTTGTGTCAAGCAATCCTGAGTGTGCTTTTCCTTTATGTGATGTGTTGCAGAAAAGGCGTGGACAAATGCAGAAGCTGCCAGCAGGAGATCACCGACCCAGCCCAGTTGCCCTGTGAACACATTTTCTGCACACAGTGCATCTTGGACTGGAAGCACAAGCAGTGCAGGATTTGTAAGGAGAACATCCCCAAGGACTACACGCCCACCGTCTCTCAGGTCACCAGGTACCTGATGGACACCAAACGGCAGCATTTTGGAGTCTCGTGGGGCAGGAACGTGCTTGATCATCTCAGTCACTACTGGTTGTCTGAAGCCCAGTGTGCTCATCAGGGGCAGATCCAAGATTTGGTAAAGGGGAGTATGGGAGCAGCCACCTGCACTGCTGGGGTGGCTGCACCCATGTCCGCAGCCTCCTCCCCGCAACCCATTATTGTGGGCAGACTGTGCTGCAGGAGCCTCTGGGGACTTTTTAAAATTTGCAAAGGAAGTAAGCATCCCTGCTTCCCCTCTGGGCTCAGAGGTACATCCGTCCCATCCCCTTCTTCCCCAGATGCTGCTGCTTTCCCCACCGTCCCAGGTCAGGGGAAGCTTCGGATCTGCTCATGACTGCTCCGGCTGGGCTGCACAGGGGCTGAGAGAGATGGGACCGGTGGCAGGAGTAGTGGTGAGGAGGTGGCTTCCATTGCAATGCCCAGGAGCAGGGACGGGAAGTAGCTGCCACTGTTGGTGCTCTAGATGAGCCCATCTCCTTGCACAATCAATGTGGAGTGGGCAGGAGCAGCTCTAAAGAGTCTTCTTTCCCAAGCAGCCACAGTGGGTAGGGGACAGAGGAAGGGGACTTGCCTCTGAGTGTGGAGGAGAAAATGGTTTCTTTTCCATGTTACAGCCTCTTTTTAAATCCCCAGAGGCTCCAGAAGAATAATCCCTGTGCTGCATTCGAGTCTTAAGCCCTGTTTTCCCCAGTAGCACCTAGCTCAGGGCTTGGTGGCTAGAGGTTTCCCACTTCCTATTCGGGTGCTATAACTCTTAGGCTTTCAGGCTAAACTGTGCAAGGACCCTTTGTGATGTTCTTTGCAGATCTCTTCTCGGGTATCCTTTTGATTTTGCCAAAGGAAATAGAATCACAGGCTATGTATAAGTGCCAAAGGTGGCACTTACCTGGATGGGCGAGAGAGCCATTAGACTGTGTAAACTGATTTAGGACCTAGCCATAGTGCCTGCCGTGTTAAAGCAAGTGTGCTCATGCAGTGGGGTCCTACACCCTGGGATGAATAACGAAAACCAGAAGCACAGCATGGATGTCACTTGGCTGGATGGTGGCACTATGGAGAAGGATCTGGGAGTCTTGGTAGATCACAGACTCAGCATAAGTCTGCCGTGTGATGCAGCTACACGAAAGGGGAAGGTGTTTTTGGGGTGCAGCAATAGAAGCTCTAGGTGCAAGACGCAGGAGGTGATGGTGCTAGGATATAGGATAGGACTCATCTGGAGTACTGTGGGCAGTCTTGGGCTCCACATTTTAAAAAGGACATGGAGAAGGTAGAGAGGGTGCAGAGGCAGGTGACAATAGGGGTGTGCAAAGCGGGGTCTATTCGATTCGGATTCAGCCCAAATCAGGGGCAGTGATTTGATTCATTGATTCGGATAACTGTTCTTGATTCAATTCGGCTGAATCTGAATCTGAGGATTTGATGCTGATTCGGAGAATCAGCGATTTGGACATAGACGTAGCTTTAAATGTTTTTTCTACATACCTCGAGGTACCAGGCGTGGCACATGGACGCTGCGATGCTGGGGCGAATGGAGCGTCCCACAGGAGTGCAGTGCGGCCCCCCCGCGTGCTCAGCAGTGAGCCCAGAAGTGCATCAGAAGTAATTCTGGTTCACTTCCAGGTCCAGCGGGGAGAGTACTTGCTGCCCCCCCATTCTCCCAGCTAAGTAATTGGCTGCAGGGGGACCCCGGGTGCCCCCCCAGACCCAGGAGGCACCAGTCGCCAGGCCAGAGAGGTACGGGAGCGCCCCCCAGCATGCTCCCCAGTGGACCTGGAAGTGCTTCTGGTCCACTTCTGGGTTTGCTGCCGAGTATGCTGGTGAGCCCCCCATGCTCCTGTGGGACACTCCATGCACCCCAGCATCGCAGCATTCATGAGCCCCTGCTACCTAGAGGTACGTAGGAAAAACATTTAAAGCCGCATCTGCGTCTGAATTGCCGAATCTCTCCAAATAGATTCCAAGGGTTCTGACTTGATTCGGAGAGATTAAAGGGTCTCCTGATTCGATTCGGATCCGGAGATTCGGCCACCAAATCGGGCTGAATCTCCACCAAATCTAATCGGGACCGACGCTTCGCACAGCCCTATTGTGGACTCTCCATCACTGGAGATTTAAGAAGAGGTAGGGCAGCCACTGTTCATGGATGATCTAGGTGTAGCTATGCCTATGGTTTTTGTCGGTTGTCGTATGGGGCTTGAGGGGACTCCTGCCCCTGGCTCCCCTCCCTTTTCTGATACGAGTGTCAGGGTTTCTTATTTCTTTGCATTTCTTTTTGGGTTTTTTAAATCCTTCCTCAGAGGCATTGGGTGTTGGCTGCAGCCTAGGCTGGGGATTTTGATTGGGCTGGGCCAATGTTCCTGAATGGGACTTAAAGGCAAAATTTCCTGGTTAGATGATCTTCCCTCTGTTCAGGGTCCAGCCAATCACCATATTTGGGGACAGCAAGAACTTTAACCCTATGGTTAGATGTTGTTCCAATAGTTGTTTCCCTGGGCGGGGTGGGGGCAGATGCCTTTTTCCTTGTCTGGTTTTATTTAGTGTAGTTATCAGCCATGCAGTTGCAATCATGCTCTGATTTCATTTGCCATTTTTAATTCTCTTTTGCTTCTTGCATTTTTTTTGCTCCAGGGAGGCCGTGGAAAATTGCAACAAATTCCGAAGGAAATGCAACTCTTTCTTTGTGGAGTTTGTCAGCAGTTACTGCTTTGGGGGCAGAATCCCTCCACCCGCGAAGGTCATTGAACAACTAATCAAGTTTGTAGCCTGCAAGCCCGCAAACTCAGAGCGCCCAGAGTCAAGGTGTGGTAAATCCAATCTCAGCAGCCCCACCCATTCAACTATCACAGGTACGATCCTTGAAAATCCGAGTTCAAAAATAAATTTTGGGTCCTTTTTATTTGCCTTTGGTTTTGAAGCATTTGCATTTCATTTTTGTTAATGTTTCTCACCCCAGCTATAAGTACTAGAAACTTTCCATTCTCTACTGTACAGTTATTCAAATGCACATTCCCGCTGTAGGTATCTTGCATCCTCAGGCTCAGTTTGAAATGTTTTGCTGTGGCTGTATGCTTAGGGTGTGCTCCAGCCCAGACCCTTTTGCTCATCATTTGTGTGAGTATATGGTAGGCAGAGGTGTAGCAAGCTCACTGAGTGCCTGGGATAGGAAGGATATGTTTTTGGGAGGAGTGGGATGAGGAGGAAGGGAAGCCTTACCTGCCTGGTGTCTCTTCATACTGAAGGCACTTGATACTGCTGCCACTGTAGCAGCATCAGCTCAGATGGCAGCAGCCCCAGGGCATGCACTCCCTGGGAGCTGCTCTGCATGCCCCTTTTGTACACTGCAGTACACTAATTCGATTCTATATACAGAAAATTTATAAATTTGTAATAATTGTGTAAGTGTAAAATCTAATTAATGGAAGTCTGCCTTGAACCCCCTTGTTCCCCACTGCTACATCAGGGAAAATAGATCTAGGCCCCTTGCGCTTGCCCCCTGGAACTTCTTCCCCCTGCAGCCCTTCCTCCTCTCCTTATTGTCAGACCCTGATCTCCTTAATCACATGGAATTAAGAAGCAAATTTGAAAAAAAAAGATCTTGAAGGTAAATATACCTGTAGTAATCTGCATATAGTACCTATAGACACAGTTCACCCAGAATTGATGTGTTTCACCATTTTTTGAAACTGCTGCCAATTTTAGCACATGCAGTCCATAAACATGCTATTAAACAGCACTTTGGCACTTACTTATATATAGTACAAATTATGCATGATATTAGTCCAAAGCCAAAAGGCTCAGGATTTACTCTAGAGCTCATTGGGCTGGGTCCCAGTGGTGTCAACAGTATTTCAAGCCACAAGTCAATACTGCTCAGTATGTGTGCGCACTCCGGATACTCCCCACAAAGAAACCATGTGCTAATTAGCCCCCCACTCATGACTGGAATCAGGTGTTTTTGTCATGAGTCCTTGGAACCCCCCCAAAATTTATATGCAGATGAGGTGCAGGGCAACTTGGTTCTGCTTCACCTCATAGGGTGTATCCCCACATGCAGAGGCATCCGTCTCCAGGGGCACAAAAAGCAGTGGCCCCAGCCGCCTTACCTGGGGTCCTGAGGGCCTCACGAGGCAGCAAAGGTGCTGATCCAGCTGCACAGAGCCTGAAGGCAGGAGTGAAGAGAGAGCTGAAATGCATTCAGTGTAGTGGCTCACCATGACTTGACAGAGAGTTGGCACTGAGGGGGACTGACCATAATAGGTACTTACATAGATCCTGTTCAGGTGGGTTGCACTAACCTTTTCTTGTTGTAGGGTCCCATCAGTATGTTTGCCCCATATGGGACTTGCATTTTATGGTCATGCTCAGCATTGTCTTTATTTAAGCAACATCCCAGTTGCTTTCCATTGCTGAACACATACTGATTTGGCAGCGGGTTAATGATAGACAACATATTAATGAGGTTTCCTTATATGTGAATGTAAGACGAAGAGCTTTTTCCCAGTGCTGACTGGGGGAAATAACCTTATCTTGTATTCTAGTATAGGTGGTGCTATTTAGAAAGTGCCTGCTTCTTACTCAAGCAGGTTAGTGCTGTTGCAGCCCCTTGTTTGCTTAAATTACATGCAGGTTATATACTCAGCACGTTTTCCTTCTATATAATTGGTTGCAGGGCTCAGACCTGTTTCACTTACGCTATGCAATTTGCCAACAGAGGGATTGAATACCCTCAAATACTTGAAGTGTGATTACAGTGCAGCTGGAGATGGACTTTCCTCTGTGGTCACAGGGGATAGGAATATGAACAATGGCCTCAAGCTGCCTCAGGGGATCTGTAGGTTGGAGATTAGGAGGAACTTTCTGACTCTCAGAGTGGTCAAGCGTTGGAACAAGGCTGTCTAGAAAAATTCATCTCCATCCTCGGAAGTTTTCAAGAGCAGGTTAGATGGACGCTTGGCTGGGATGCGTCAGCCAGGGACAATCCTGCCTTGAGCACAGGGTTGGACTCGATGACCTCCTGAAGTCCCCTCCAGCCCTGATTTCCTATGGTGGTCCTTCCCCCCAGCCTCAGAAGGTAGGCAGGTACATGAGTAATGAGTAGGCTCAGTCTACATGTGCACACATGCATATCCATTTAGCAGGGGAAGATTGAAAACACCCAGGTCTAGGGCTAGAAAAGCCCCATTGAGGTGTGCAAAGGGCAATAGAAGAGCACCAGAAATAGAAGCTTTCTGTTCCAACAGACTGTGACTGATTTGCCCACGCTGGGCATGTGAACTCCAAAGAAGCCATAGATTGGTGTGCATTCTTTATATATTTTTGCAGAAGAAACTTAACCCAATTTATTCTTTGCTTTTAGTATACAAACCCACAAGTGACCTGTCACCCTTTGAAGAGTGCATGGACCCAAGTCCTACTGTCAAATCCTCCCTTCTCAAAATGTTGCTCCAATGCAGGTTGGGTTTCCTGTTCACTCATAGCCCTCTCCTCATACGTCCCACTCCCAGACCAACCCAGAGTACAGGGTATGTGATATTCCATATCCCTTTCCTCCTAGACTCGATGATGTGAAGATTCACCTTCAGGCATACCTCTCCAGGATGGAGGAAGTAATAACTTCAAACCAAAGCATCCGGGATGATTTCTACTTCATGGTGGTACGCTGTTTTGAGGTGAGTTCTATGTTTCACCCACAAAACTGCCTTAAAAAGGACATTAAGGTTGCAAAGTCCAACATCCAAAGGTTACAAAATGCCTGATTAAAGAGTGTCTGTACAACCAGAACACAGCCTGTTTGATACATCCTTTAAATATGAGACTACACATTGGGTTATTTTTATTATTTGCTTATTTGGTTTTAGAGGGGTTTTTTTCATGGACCTTCTGCTTTAGTAGTGAATGGGCAGTTTTTCTGTTCAGGCAGTTACAATGTTTTGCACTTACAACGTTTATAAATGGACAACCTGTTTCAACTTTATGACCTCAGTTTTGACTTTACAACTCTTGATCCGATGTGACGCCACGCCAGCGAACAAGTTCGCTGTGTCGCCTGTCTCCCTGGAGAATGTCTGTCCAAACTTCCTGGGACGCTTGCTTTAAGAAAGCAGACGAGACTCCAGAAAAACCTGCAGCCAGGACTGCTGAGAAGACTCCAGGCAAGAGCCCTTCAAAAAGTCCAACCAAGAGCCTTTCGAAAAGTCCAGCAGTCACCTCAAAGAAGTCCTTCCAAATCAATGATTGCTATTTACACTATAAATGCATCTATATTACTCATCTATAATTGACCGAGTACAAAATTCTGGGGTATTTTTGGTGAAAATAGGGTATTGGGCCCTGGTTCAGAAAACAATCCCCCATTTATAACATTGTTTCTTATGAGAAAATCGGTTCCAAGTTGCAACGTTTCAACTTAAGACGTGGTTTTCAGGAGCCAATTGTGTCATAAGTCTGAGGACTGCCTGTACACCACGCCGAATTCAAACGTACCCATTTCCTCAAGGCTACATCTCTGGTGCTCTCGCCACAGTGCTTATGCACTAAATGATCAGCAAATTCATCTTTATGACATGCTGTCTTTATCTCCATTTTATACCTGTGAAATAGAGGTACCGAGGTACTGTATTTAGGTCAGATTCTAAAATTGCCCACAAATTTTGGGTGCCCATGTTGAGGTATCCAGTGCTGGTTTTTCAGCGTGCTTTACATTTTTTATAGCAGTTCCTATGGTTCAGAGAAGAGCTTGCCTCTTGTGGTGGACATCTGCAAATCAGAGTCGATCCTGTTTCACTGATTAGATGTCTTAATAGACTTAAGCACAAAGAGGCAGTCCTACTCCGCCCTGCTCAAGTCCCAGAATAAATACTCACATATGTCACTTCTCATAGGTTTCATAGACATTCGGGCTGGAAGAGACCTCTCGAGCTCATCGGGTCCAACCCTCTGCCCCAGGGGCAGGATTCAACTGGGGTCAGATCACCCCAGCAAGATGAGCATCCAGGTGTTTCTTAAATGTACCCAGAGCAGGTGCTTGCACCACTTCTGGGGGGAGTCTATTCCAGACTCTGGAGACTTGGACGGTGAAGAAGTTTTTCCTTATGTCCAGTCTGAAATGGTCTTCCAGCAGTTTGTGACCATTAGACCTTGTTTTCCCTTGGGGTGCTCTGATGGACAGACGTTCTCCGAGTTCCTGATGCGCACCCCTGATGTACTTACAGGCTGCCACCAAGTCACCCTTGAGCCTTGGCTTCTCCAGGCTGAAGAGTCCCATGGCTCTCATCCTCTCCTCATAAGGCCTGTTCTCTTGACCTCTGATCATGTGCATGGCTCTCCTCTGGACTCTCTCAAGCTTCTCCACATCCTTTCTAAAGTCCAGAATTGGATGCCCTACTCCAGCTGTAGCCTGAGTAAAGCGGGAGGATGGCTTCTTGGGTCTTGCTTAAGATGCATGAGTAGATGCAAGCCAGAGTTGTATTTGCTTTGCTGGCTGCAGCGTTGTGTTGGTAGCTCAAGTTCATCTTGTGGTCATTCATGACCTCCAAGTCTTTTTTGGCCATGGTGCTAGTGAGTGTAGAACTGCCAAGCCTATAAGTACGATGTGAGTTTTTTCTCCCAAGGTGGAGCACCTTGCATTTCTCCATGTTGAATGTCATCAGGTTTTTATCTGCGCACCTTGCGAGCCTGTCCAGGTCAGCCTGAATTGCCAGCCTAGCAGAGTGACCGCACGTCCCCATAAGTTGGTGTCATCTGTGAACTTAGCCAGTTCACTTCTGACAGCCCAATCCAGATAATTTATTAATATATTAAAGAGTATTGAGCTCTGAGGGATGCCCCTGGTCACCGTGAGCCAAGTTGACTTCTGTTTTTGAGAACTTAGTGTTGAGAGTGTTTAACAAAGCGTGGTGCAATAATGGACTCTCAGGGCACATTGCAATGAGTGCATATGTGCAGGGGCACATGTTTCCCGTGGGACACATAGCACCAGCACATATCTGTGCCACTGCTATTTGTCCTTGGGTGCACCCCTGCATGCAAGCTCTGGCACACGGCAAATTGACCTGAGTGGGGCAGGGGAGGCTGGGGCCAGCACCCGGGCAAGGCCCAGCAGCCTTACTTGGGGTCCTGGGGGCCTCCTGGGGCAGGAGCAGTACCAAGCTGGCTGCTCAGAGCCTGGCCAGCAGCCAGAGTATGGTTCTGGCCAGCCAGGCTCTGTTTTTCTTGGTGCACACTGCTGCTGCATGCACCATACTACTTTTTCAGCGGTGTTTTCTTTCTTTACAGTTGGATTTCCTGGTGCCAAAAAAACCCTGCTGTGCTGCAAATTAGCAGTGTGCTGAACGGGTGCATGTGTGCTGCATGTAGGTTGAGGTGCCCCAAAAAGGTCTGAGGCACCGCAGACTTCATGTGTGTGCTCGTCAGGATGCACCCTCAGAGGCTTGAACAAAGTAGAATAAAATTACACTAAGGCGCCTACTTCCACTTAGATGCTTAATAAGTGGCACAGGATCTAGCTCTATGTGCAACCACTGGGCACCTACAAATTCTCTCAAGAGATGGGAAGTGGGGTTTGGGATGGGAGCAGATGCAAAAAGGGGAAAGCTGCAAGAGTTTTTGCATGCGGGCCATTACTATTAATCCATAACTTTGTTTAAAAATAACAAGTTTCTTTTTTGTTGGCTCCAGGTTATGGTGGCATGCGAAGGGGGAAAGGAAAAAACCTAGGGTGTGTCTACATGTGCAATTCATGTGCATGAATAAATTCTGGAGCTTATCTCTCTAGGACATATTGCTCCGTACTGCTTTGATCTCAGCGGTATTTCTGCCCAGAGCAGGGGGCTTGAGCTCAATGATCTTTCGAGGTCCCTTCCAGCCCTTAACTGCTATGATTCACGTGCACCTGGGACCATAGCACATTGAGCTGGGTCAGAACAGCCCCAGCTGGCAGGGGGTCTTGGGGGCCAGCGCACCAGCCCAGGGCTGCTTCCCTCAGCTCAACATGCTGTGGAGGGGCTGGGGGGGGCGGGCCGGGGGGGGGGGCGAAGCGGCGCCCACAAGGGTGCTGTGCCAGCAGGCAGCCCCCGCACTGAAGCACCCTCATGCCCCAGTCAGCTAGGGCAGCATCTACATGTGCACTGCTACGGAGTAAAACACTCCACAGCGGGAGAGCACTTGTGCATTCAAGTACTACCCTGCTGCATAGTTGGTTAATTTACTCCAGCCTAATAGGGGTAGATGTGTAGACATGCACTGTTTATTGTGCAGCTAATTAGTCTGCTGCGCAGTAAATGTCTCATGTAGATGTGCCTACTGTCACACTGACTATACCTGTTTCTTATAGTAGATATGTATAGCACAAGCTTTGTGGGCTGAAACTCATTGCATCAGATGCTGATGAAGATGCAGGTGATGTTTATAATGTCTAACTCTCTCTCTACACCCGTTTCCACAGATACGTTGTCTGGTCACAATGCAGTTTTTGAACATGTGCTCTCCTCACTTAACAGGATTTTATGTACTCCTCCTCCCAAGAAGATGCCAGCCAAGAGGCTGAGCACTGCATCACCAGTGCAGACCTGTCCACTCCCAGCTGTGCTGCAGTTACAGATGTTGATACCCTGCAGTTGATCGCCAGGCTCCGACTGGCCATCAGTCATGTTGCAACTGTGCTTGGTACAGAGTTTCTGAGTGGTGAGTGGAGCTGCTCCCCATTTTTAAAGCAAGAGTGGGTACATCTACACGTTCATTAATGCACTGTAGTTACTGAGCATTAAGTTTAGCGCTTGGCTAACCTAGTACTAAATCAGTGAGCAGTAACAGGCACACAGCTTTTTAGTAGAGGTGCACTGATGCATTGGTCCATATCGTAGGTGAGGGCTACGGGGTGGGCTACAGCCACCCCAAAATTTACCGTAAGCCCCCCGAACCCTCCCTCCCAGTACTACTGCTGCTTGCCCTGAGCCCAGCCCTAGTCCATAGTGGCAGCCCACCCTTGCCCTGCGTGCAGATCCAGGGGGTGCATGATCCCCATGCCTCCCCTGCAGGTGTGCACTGCAGTGGGAGCTGCACCCCCTCCCTGTCCCACCCTGCAGCCCCTGGACAAGCCACTTGTGGCTCTGTCCCACGCCCTGCCCTGGGCTGGGCAGCGCCTCCCCCACTTCCTCCCTTACCTTTGGGCCCTCAATCTGCCCTCTCCATGCCCCTTCCCTCCCCCCTGCCCTTTCCCTGCAGTGGACTTACCAGCTGCACACTGCTTTCCAAGCTGCCTGGCTGACATATTGGCAGTCAGATTGGTATCGGCTGATATGGCTCATCAATAATCAACTAAAAAATCTTTATCAGTGCATCCCTACTTTTTAGCAATACTAATTGCACAGTAGCCTAGTACTAGTGCTCGGTAGCGTATTAGCACAGGTTTTGCCCTGCACACTGCTGTGCAGTAGAATCAGGCTACTGCGCAGTTAGCGTCTCATGTAGTTGCACACCCGGTGTTAGGGAAACCAAGTTAGAGAAACTTCAAAATTGAAATGCAGCCGTCTGTTCTGTATCCTGCTTTCATTTGGTTTCAGTTCAAATTCCTGTTTGTGTCCTTTCAGCCTTCTCATTTCCTTTAATTTTTTTCAATTCAACCTTTTTGTTGTATATTGTGAGATGAATGGTAGGTTACCCAAGCAAAAGATGTTGGTATCATCAAATGCT